CGGGACCTGAGTGACCTGGAGCCAACAGTGCCCGGGGAGGATAACGGAGGTGCAATGAACACTGACTGAAAGACTATCTGGGCACTTGGGAGCTCATGGGAGTCCTACCGACTGTGTTGCTGTGACAGAGGAGAAGCAGATGAGTAGCTAATTAAACAAGGTGCAGCCGAGAGAAGACCACAGGGGGAGAGATTAGAAAATCGAGCTGGCATTGACACTCATGAAATGAGAAACCTGCAAAGTCTCCCAAGTGAGAAGGGGTTGATTTGACTGGATTATGGTTGAGAATTGTTTCTGAATTGGAAGACTGATAGATTGTCTCCTGCTTATCAGGTTATATCTTAGGAGTGTTGGCTGGGGGAAAAGCTAAGCAATTAACCAAACTGGTTAAGCTGACACCAAGAAGGGAAAAAAATGGAAAGAAAATACATGTTTCTGAAGTATGAGCATCACTTTCGAATGTTTCAAGTTAGACAATGATCATGGGTTTGCCTTCCCTTCCACAGAAGGTCATAACCAGCCAAGGATGTTGTCTAGAAGTCATCACAGAACACCCAGAGTGAGAGAGAAAGTTAATCAGAACAACAGTAAACATGCAGGGAAAAAGTTATCTTACATTTGAGAGTATTCATTTTTTAAAAATTATTATAACAATTAAAATATGCCAAAAATAAAGATGCAGTGCTCTCTTTCAAATGCACTTCTAAAGACTATTAATTCAGAATAGGTGCAGAGGTAGCAAAGTGCAACGTATTATATACAGCCAGGTTTTTAGAAGTCAGCATTTAGAAAATATATTAGCACATAAAATGTTTAAATGGGCTGTAAAATATCACAGAGCATAATTACTTATACATAAATTATGACACAACTGATATTGCCTTGCTTTTGTTTATAATGATTACAAAACATTTACCTATGAAAACTGCACTCTCATTATGTGGATTTTTGTAAGTGTGTGGGACTGGGACTTGGTTGGCGAGTTTTGACATCCTAGTCTGATGGTTTTGTCCTGTGTTTGCAAACACAAGCAGACTAATATTTTGTGCTTATAAAACTTTGTTTATTTAATTTTCCACTACCAACACAGAAGACAAATACTCTAATCTTGTGGTTAATTGGGTTTTGGAAAGAACCTAAGTATGATCTTCATTTTATTATAATTATCATGTAAATACTGGGAAGGACCTTAGGTTTGAGTCCCTTACCTTTGTATTTGTATAATATGTAAGGTTTAATGACTTGGCAAAGGTCAGTCACAGAAACAGTGTAACACTAAATTTCGTCTTACGTTTTTTATTATATAGTTGGGTTTTTTCCTATGTCATCCTACAATGTAGAGTCATCTTTCAATTTTTTCAGGTCTTTTCAGCAAACGATTAAATTAGTTCTCATTAAATGAGGCTTCTCTCTTTTTCATTAAACACATTTTAGAAGGCAAGCCCTGGTAATTTTTAAATACTCTGCATGTGTTTACTTTTCAAAAATCTTGGTGGGTTTGTTACAAATAAAATGATAGAAATTTAGGTTTTAAACTTATAATGGATGTGAGCCATGCATTATTTGTGCTTCTTTTTTTAATACCATTTATAAAATGGTTTTTTTGGTAAGAATATTTAACATGAGATCTATCCTCTTACCAAATTTTTTAGTATACAGTAAATTATTTTTCACCATATGTATAATGCTGTACAGAGAATCCCTGGAGTTTATTCATCTTGCTTGACTAAAACTTTGTGCCTATTGGTTAGTAACTCTCAATATTTCCCTAATCCCGCCCCTGGCAACCACCATTGCACTCACTCGGTCATTCTATGAATTTCACTACTTCAGATACCGCATATAAGTAGAACCATACAGTGTTTTCACTTCTAACACTGGCTTATTGCACTCAGCATAATATCCTCAAGGTTCATCCATTGTGTTACATATTACAGAATTGGTTCTTTTAAAGGGGTAACTAGTATTTCGTTGTATGTATATGCCACATCCATTGGTCATTTATGTTGTTTCCACATCTTGGCTATTGTGAATCGTGGGGCAATACACATCAAAGTGATAATATCTGAGATTCCAGTTTTAACTCTTTTAGGTGAGCAACACACAGAAGTGAGATTTCTGAATCATGTGATGGAGCTGTTTGTCATTGTTTGCGGAACCTACACACTTGTAGGATTTTGCCTTCCCAACAGTAGGAACTATTCCAGTTTCTCCTTGTACCCACCAACACTTGTCATCTTCTTTGTTTGATAATAGCCACACTGCAAAATGTGAGGTGATATTTCATTGTGTTTTTTATTTGCATGTCCCCTGTGATCAGTGATGTTTTACATTTTATTATATATTTGTTTGCCACTGGTACTTCTTCTTTGGAGAAATGTCTCTTCATGTCTTTAGCCTATAGTTTGTTTTATTCATTTTGGGGTTTTGTTGTTGTTGTTGTTGTTGTGTTTTGCTATTGATTTGTACGAGTTCCTTATATATTTTGGAGATTAACCTCTTGTCAAATATATGCCTTAAGAATAGTTTCCCCCATTTAGAAGGTTTCCTTTACTTTCTGTTGATTGCTTCCTTCACCATGGAAATGTTTTTTAGTTTAATGTGATACCACTTAACTATTTTTGGGTTTTGCACCTGTACTTTTAGTAGCATACCCATGAAATTATTGCCAAGACCAAAGTCATGAAATTTCCCCCCAAAGTTTTCTTCTAATAGTTGTGTGGTTTCAGGTCTTACACTTAAGTCTTTAATTCGCTTTGTGCTAATTTTTGTATGTGGGGTAAGATAGGGTCCAATTTCATTCTTTCACACATGGAAATCCAATGTAACAACATCACTTGTTGAAGAGACTACTAATTTCCCGTTGTGTATTTCCTGGCACACTTGTTAAATATCAGCTGACCGTCTAGGTGTGGGTTTATTTCTATGCTGTCTCTTCTGTCCCTCTGATCTACAGGTCTGTCATTAAGCCAATACCATATAGTTTGAATAATGTAGCTTTATATTATATTTTGATACAGAGAAGTACAATGCCTTTAGATTTGTTCTTCTTTCTCAAGATCATTTTGGCTGTTTGTGATCTTTTGTGGTACCACATGAATTGTAGAATTTTTTTATTCCTATAAAATTTATTTTTAAAAGGCCCATGGGATTTTGGTAGACATTGCATTGAATCTGTAGATCACTTTGAGTAGAATGGACATTTTAACAATATCAAATCTAATCCATGAAGACAAGATATCTTTTCACTTGTTTGTCTTTTATTTTCTTCATCATGTAATTTTCAATATATAAACCTTTAAGTTATTTCTGTTCATATGACACTATGCCTGGGACAGAATCTCCAGTGAGAGGATGTTCCAAATCTCTCTTCTGACTTTGGAGAGTCTGGCTTCATGTTCCCCTGGGGCACAGGAGCCTTTCACCTGAGTTCTCACAAAAGGAATTTATACATGAGTTATTACGGAACGGTGTGTTTGTGGGAGAAAGGGAGGGTTTAGAACCACACTCCCACCATTTTCCTGAGGCCATGCACTCTTTTTGGAATTTTAATTTATACTCCTTAAATACATTTTGGAATTGCCATTAACTTTACATCCTTTTTTGAAAGCCACAATATGCACTTGCTTATTAAAATATCTGCAGAGTCTTGCAATAACCAAATGTCTAGTAGGTGATACCTGGCATTATATTAGCTACTTAGTAAATGTCAGATCCTAACTACTTGCAGTGTTTACATTATCTTTGCTGTGCAGGTGAGAAAATAGATTGGCAAAGCAATTTTCTAAATAATAACAAAGTTAGAGATATTGGAAATCATATGTCTAACATCAATGCCCATGTTATTTCCACAATGTACTTTCATATATAAAAACTAAATAATTCACAATCTTGTATACTCAGAACTTCAAAATCAAATCATGAAACAAAACCAGGCTTTAATTTATTTTCTAAGGATTGAGAAGGAATCCCCAAACTAGGATATGTGACTTGACTATGTATTCCTACAGTACATGGTGCCTGTGACTTCATTAGCCTTTGTCATTCTTTTTTTGCAATTAATTTATCTGTAAACTCATGCGTCTCCAGAGCTAGGGTAAGGTCAGGAGTCTCTGTAGGTCTAGGATGGTGTCTGGCTCATCAATGCACTCTAATTATCAAGTGATGAGTGGCTGGCATTGAGTAAGTCTACAATAGGCACTGACTGAAAGTGTGAATGCCCAGCTGAGTCAATCCTGAGAGCTGATTCAGCAGGTCTCTCTGCTTTTACCCACACCAACACCGCAGTAAAACTCAGTACTTTCCACCACTCCCAAAGCTGCACCCAGGTCTTGAGTTCACAGACAATTCCACTGGGAGTGGAGAAGAGTTGCAGAAAAAGCAAACTCAATGCAAATCTGCATTGCTCATTCTTGTGCTCTGCAAATTACCACTAATAATGCTTCCAAAATTGTTCCTCTCTCTCTGGGGTCCCACTGTCTCACTGACTTTGGCAACCCATTCTCTACAGTCCTAGAAAATATATCCTTCACTATAAAACATGCACAAGCACAGAGGGAGAAACATATTTAAAAATATATACACACACTTGAATTTATGAATATAAAGTAAAACTGAAGGCATGATTTTTACTGGCATAGGTCTTTTTTTACACACTGTTTCCTTACTAAACAAGGAGAAAAGGATACTTCCTTTCTCATTTCTAGTCAAGCTATTTTTTTAAACATTTTTCCTAAACTTTGAGCACATCTCTTTGGCAACATGAAATTTTTAGAAATATTTTCCTTATTTATTTTTAGGGAGGGGGGAGGGAGGGAGAAAGAGAGGGAGAGAAACGTCAATGTGAGAGAAGCATTGGGTCGGTTGACTGGGACCCGGCTTGCAGCCCAGGCATGTGCCCGGACCAGGAATAGAACCGGCGGCCTTTTGCATTGCGGGACAACACCCAACCAGCTGAGCCAAACCATTCAGGGCTACATATGATTTAAATATATGCATATATATATATGGAATGCTTCACAAATTTGCATGCCGTCCTTGTGCAGGGGCCATGCTAATCTTCTGTGTCATTCCAATTTTAGTATTTGTGCCGCTGAGACAAGCACACAGAGTATGAATTTTAACCTTATAGAGGTGTTAACAATATAATTGAAAATATTCTCCTTTAAAAAAAGTTTTTCTTTAAGCCACATGGGAAAACTGTGCTCTTGAAACTCTCTCAGTTTGAATAAAAGTGCATTTATTGTTATCTGTGACAACAAAAATTTTGAGTTCCTGTTGCCCTTGCTCTATATTCTACAGGAAAAAACAGCATACGTTTCATATCAAATACTTGAGACATACACAATTTTGGACAATTTAACCCACAGCATTTACATAGCTATAAAGGGACCGCAGTGTATTTTAATATCCCACGGTAGTACTTAAGGAGAATAAAAAACGTACACAGTAAGAAGATATGCTTATTTTAAGTGTTCTCTGATCCTGTATCACCGAATAACGGTGGGTAAAATGTGCTATGGTTTTGAAGTTAGAGGACATGTAGTATGAAAAATATTAATCATTAAAATCTGCCTATCATTTCTCTTAAAATCTTTATACTTCAATCATCATGATAGTGTCCTTAGATAGACTTTTTTAAAAAACTCTGAGGTAAACTCAATAGCATATCAGACTGTTTTGTATTAACTTGTATTATTGGAGAAAAGGGCCCTGTGGCTTTCACTATTATGCACCCAAGTCATTTTAGGCTCAATGGTTTTATTATCATTGCTACCATTTTTTCCAATGGTTTGTCTTCAACTACCACAGCACAAATGAAATCGAAAAAGTGAAACATTTCTCTGTTGCATTGCTTTCTACTGTTTAAGCAATCTTCTTCCTTAAAGCCATGAGGAATGTGACAAGAAAACTACTTTGGGGCATATATTTACAGATTCGTCTTTTTTATCTAATGACCACAAATGCATCTTCATACAATATGCTCTAGGCCTGCAGTTTTACCATAGTAACTAGACTTGATTTTCTATAACACTATATGTTTTGTAGCTAAGGATCAATTTAATTCAATAAACATTTTACTGATTTTTTTTTGCCACATATTTTCTTAAGTTCAAGGGACTACGAGGCAAAAGGCACAAATAAAATGGTGCAGCTTATTTGGAAGAGTTTTACAGTTCCTTAAAAGATTTTTAACCTTTTTTTTAACAGCATAACCCTCTTATGCATCAATTTTACTCTTAGTTATACACATAAGAGAAATAAAAATATCAGTCCACTCAAAATAATGTGTACATATGTATTCACGGAACATTATTTCTAAGAGTCAAAAATTGAAAACAATCCAAATATCCACCAACTGATGAGTGGGTAAATGAAATGTAATATATCCACACAATGGGATATTGTCTACAATAATAAGAAATGAAGTACCAAGACATAGTACAACACGGATGAATCTTGAAAATATTATGCTAAGTTAAAGAAAGCAATGCAAAGACAAAATATTGCTATTCCTTTTATATAAAATATTCAGAATAGATATAATTTCTGTATAGAATCCATACAGAAAGAAATTAGATTAGTGATTGCCTAGGGCTGGAGGGTGGGACTAAATTGGGGAGTGACTGCTAATGATAATGGGGTTTCTTTTTGGAGTAGATGAAGTGTTGTAAAATTAGATGGTGGTGATTCTGAAACAACTCAATAAAAAAACCAGCAAAAAGCACTGAATTGTTCATTTTAAATCAATGAATTCATGACATTTGAATACATCTCAATAAAGCTGATTTAAAAAAATCAAGAGTCCCTAAATTTATAGAGAAATCTTCACGTAACATAATATGATGTCTAAAATTTAAATCAAAATACATGGAGGAATATGTAATTGATTAAACAAGATTAGCCTGGATTGATGATTGTCGAAGCTGATTGAGAGTTTCTGGGAGTTCATCATTTTATTTTTTTCTAGTTTTGTCTGTGATCAAAATTTTTAATGAAACTGATTTTAAAAATAATTCCCCTAACCATTATTTGAAGATTGTGTCCCATGTGCTTAGAAAAATTGATTGCTCTGTAGGAATGATCTTTATAGACTCTGAAATACCCATTGATTGTGTCAAATTAACAACTGGCAGAGATGAAACATTTGATGTTTTAAATAAAACTCCTAGAGAAATAAGTGGAGAAAAAGTAGCCCCTTGCCAGCAGAACAGCTGTGGTCTCTGTGGAAATCAGCCACTTTCCTGTTGAGAAGGGCGCAATGATGATGAGGCTTTGGGTGGTGGACACACAATGTAATATACAGATGATGTATCATAGAAATGTGCACTTGAAACCCATATAGTTTTATTATCCAATATCACCCCAATACATTTAATTTTTTAGAAAAGAAGGGAGTAATGAGACTTTAAATTCCAATTCTTCATCTATATTCTTTCATACATAGGGAATGGATGAATCATTATAACACGTTATAAAGTTTTTTTAAAAAATCTTTCTTCCTCCCTAAAGAACTCCTACAATTCCCTCCAGAAGAAAACTCACTCCTTGGTAAGAAACATGAGCCCCATCTTTTTATCATAATTAAAATAAAAGCAGGAAACTTTTTTTGTCACTTATGATTTGCCAGCATGGTCTGCCCTCAGGCAGCCAAGTCCAGACCAGGGCACAAGTGAGTCAGGCGAGGAAAGGTAAACGCCGGGATCCATGCCGCCACCCCCGCACCACGTTTCAGGACAGAGAATGCTCATTCTCCTCAGAGCTCCTTCCTACTGAGCCTGAGAATCCTTCTTAGTAAAGTGACCCAGAGAGAACACCGTCAATCAGAATCCATACGTGAATTCGAACATATTCGCTTTCCAGGTTTTGTGTCAATGCTGATATCCAGGACAGAGTTGAGAAAAGGTAGGATTTAGCTTCTGCATGAGGGTGGATGTTAATCCTAGTGCAAAAAGCTTCCACCAGGTTCAGCGCTAGCATTAGGGTGTTAGCTCAGATTAGTGGTAGAACTGGGGTTATGTTTAGATGGTATCATTACAATTTTGTACGAGAGTTATGTCTTAGAACTTTTTGCCTAATATTAGAAAGGATGAAGTTAGAATTGAGTGTATTTTACTGTGACTATCAGGTGAATATCTCTTTTTAAATTAAGCACTCTATACATTCAGTCAATTGTAGAAGAAACGGCTAGTAGTTTTTTTCTAGCCAATCCTCTTTTTTAACTTCATTTTCAAGAAACTCTATTACATACAAATTCAGTTTATATGTATGTACTTCAATTACAGTTTACTTTTAATATTATTTCGTATTGGTTTCACGTGGATAGCATAGGGGTGAGACAATCGTGATCTTTACAGTGCTCCCAGTATTCCCAGCACCAACCTGGCATCACACACAGTCATCACAGTACTACGGACTGTATTCCCCATGCTGCACTTTACATTCTCATAATTATTTTGTAACTACCAATTTTTACTTCTTATTCCTAACACCTGCCGCCCAGGGCTCTGCCGCCCTCCTGTCTGGCAACCACCAGTTCACTCTCTGTGTCTATAAGACTCTTTCAATTTTGCCTGTTTGTTTTGTTCTTTAGATTCCACATATACGTGAGATAACATGCTATTTGTCTTTCTCTGACTGATTTATTTCACTTAGAATAATGCCTTCTAAGTCCATCCATGGATATCTTGAAAATATTGTAAAACCTTTCAAAGCTCACATATTTCTTCTCATATTGCTTATCTTGAGCAGGTATTGTGTAAGGATATTAATGAAAGTGTTTTAAAAAAACTCTTAGATTCTACTAACTGAGCTCTTAAATTAGTAGTTTTATTCAATAGATTATTTTATATGACTCATAGGTTTTATGAGTTAATTTTGATATTTGCTTAATAACCCTTATTAGGCTACGTAGCAATCATTGCAAAATGTTTTATCTCTTTTTATCACCACTCAAAAAAAAATAAAAATCTAAATTAAGGTGATCAAAAGCCAGTGATAAAATGACAGACACAGAGAATGGATCTAGGTATAAAGTGAAATAATAATAGGCCAAACAATAGCCACGTTTTTCATTAGAATACATGAGTTCATTTCAACCACGATGCGAAATTCATATTCCGTGAATGTGACAGCAACACATCACATATGCGTGGCTGCTCAATCCCGCCAGCCTTATCCAATTTATCATCCTTGTTTCAAAACAGAAAGCAGGAAATGCTTTATAAGCTTTAGGAGCCATGCCAAACAGGATGAAATTTTAAATCCCTTTAGGAAGTTGCTCCTGTTACACTGTAAAACCAAAACCTGCCCCTGATTGACACAAGGCCATGGAGTAAGTGTGACTTACTTGTTGTTTGCTAACTAGCTCTCTACCTATTTTCCTCTCTTTTCCAAAAGGATTTCAGTCAAGGCAAATAGATGTAATTAATTAAGAATAATACAAAATATAAATACTTTTAAAATGACAGTATAGGGTAAATTACGAATGTCAAGACCGGAGGAAGAAATACTAATAAAGAATGCATGCTGTGCCATTTTCTACATTTACCTAAGAAGAGCTGCAAATTCAACTCAGACTTCCCTCATTGCAAACATAAAAGGAAAACAAGATGTTATGAGAATTGAATAGTTACTAAATTAATCAATTAATCAATGAACAATCGCTCAAACTCTTTCTCATCTTGAAGCTCTCTGTGCTCACACATGCTTCCATATGTTAAAAGATAGAAAAATGAAATTACATTATCATTGGCTTTCTATGGATGCCTTAAAAACAATTCTAGTCTCAAGAGCAAAGTTACAGTGTATTCATGCAGATTTCTTCAAGTAAGGTAAGGAGCTATGGCATTATGAATTTATTTCTAGTCTTGCAAGCCTTCAAGAGAATCTAAAATTGCATCGTTTCATCAGGGGCCAAGTTTCATGTCAAATAGTGTGTAAAATCTAATAATACTCAGCAGGGGATAGAGGCATTGCACGGGAAAAATGAAGGCTACGTGAGAACTTTTAAAAAAATTTTTTTATTGTTGTTCAAGTACAGTTGTCTCCATTCCCACCCCCCACCATTCCCCCACCATCTCCACCTCCCACCCCTGATCCCAAC